GAGAAGTGTAGAGGAAAGAGAAAGATTTTGGGAAATGTTGAGTAAGTGTGTGGAAGCTTTGAACCAAGTGTGAGAGTACTTGAGGTTGGGGATTTCAATGCTAAAGTGGGTAAAAATGTTGTGGAGGGAGTAGTAGGTAAATTTGGGGTGCCAGGGGTAAATGAAAATGGGGAGCCTTTAATTGAGCTATGTGTAGAAAGAAGTTTGGTAATAAGTAATACATATTTTATGAAAAAGAGGATAAATAAGTATACCAGGGATGATATAACACATAATGAAGGTAGTTTGTTACATTATGAATTGGTGGATAAAAGGTTGATGAGTAGGCTTCAGGATGTACATGTTTATAGAGGGGGCAACTAATGTATTGGATCATTATTGAGTTGTGGCTACAGTTAGAGTAAGATGTAGATGGGACAAAAGGTAAATGTCAACAACAAGTAAGAGAGAGGTGAAAGTGTATAAGCTAAGGGAGGAGGAAGTTAGCGTGAGATATAAGCCACAGTTGGCAGAAAGGTGGGTTATTGCAAGTATGAGTAGTGGGGGGGTTGAAGAGGGTTGGAATAGTTTTAAAAATGCAATATTAGAATGTGGGGCAGAAGTTTGTGGTTATAGGAGGGTGGGTGCAGGAGGAAAGAGGAGTGATTGGTGGAATGATGAAGTAAAGGGTGTGATAAGAGAAAAAGGTAGCCTGAGAGGTTTTTACAAAGCAGAAGTGTTATAAGTAGAGCAGAGTATATGGGGAGTAAAAGAAAGGTGAAGAGAATGGTGAGAGAGTTCTAAAGGAGAGCAGATGATAGTGTGAGAGAGGCACTGTCAAGAAATTTTGATGAAAATATGAAAAAAAAAATTGGAGTGAGATAAGCAAGTTAAGAAAGCCTAGGGAACAAATGGATTTGTCAGTTAAAAACAGAGTAGGGGAGTTAGTAGACAGGGAGCTGGAGGTATTGGGTAGATGGCGGGAATATTTTGAGGAACTTTTAAATGTCAATGAAGAAAGGGAGGCTGTAATTTCATGCAGTGGCCAGGGAGGTATAACATCTTTTAGGAGTGAAGAAGAGCAGGATGTGAGTGTGGGGGAGGTGCGTGAGGCATTACATAGAATGAAAGGGGGCAAAGCAGGTGGAACTGATGGGATCATTACAGAAATGTTAAAAGCAGGGGGGGATATAGTGTTGGAGTGGTTGGTATTTTTGTTTAATAAATGTGTGAAAGAGGGGAAGGTACCTAGCGATTGGCAGAGAGCATGTATAGTTCCTTTATATAAAGAAAAGGGGGACAAAAGAGAATGTAAAAATTGTAGGAGAATAAGTTTACTGAGTATACTAAGAAAAGTGTGTAGTAGGGTTATTATTGAAAGAATTAGAGGTAAGACAGAGAATAGGATTGTGGATGAGCAAGGAGGCTTTAGAGTGGATAGGGGATGTGTAGATCAAGTGTTTACATAGAAGCATATGTTTTTTTTTTTTTTTTTTTTTTTTTTATCAAGTCGGCCGTCTCCCTCTGAGGCAGGGTGACCCAAAAAGAAAGAAAATCCCCAAAAAGAAAATACGTTCATCATCATTCAACACTTTCACCTCACTCACACATAATCACTGTTTTTGCAGAGGTGCTCAGAACACAACAGTTTAGAAGCATATACGTTTATCAGGCTCTGATCCACCAGGAGGCCTGGTCACAGACCGGGCCGCGGGGGCGTTGACCCCCGGAACTCTCTCCAGGTAAACTCCAGGTATAAAGATACACAACATATCCCTCCAAACTGCTAATATCCTGAACAGTATTTAGATAAAGGTGGGGAAATTTTCATTGTATTTATGGATTTAGAAAAGGCATATGATAGAGTCCTAGGTAGTAGGTTGGTAGACAGCAACCGCCCATGGAGGTACTACCGTCCTGCCAAGTGTGTGTAAAACGAAAGCCTGTAGTTGTTTTACATGGTGGTAGGATTGCTGGTGTCCATTTTTCTGTCTCATAAACTTGCAAGATTTCAGGTACATCTTGCTGCTTCTACTTACACTTAGGTCACACTACACATGCATGTACAAGCATATATATACATACCCCTCTTGGTTTTCTTCTATTTTCTTTCTAGTTTTTGCTCTTGGTTATTTCCTCTTATCTCCATGGGGAAGTGCACCAGAATTCTTCCTCCGTAAGCCATGCGTGTTGTAAGAGGCGACTAAAATGCTGGGAGCAAGAGGCTAGTAACCCATTCTCCTGTATATATTACTAAATTTGAAAGAAGAAAGTTTCGTTTTTCCTTTCACCCCCACCTCGGTGGGATACGGCTGGCACGTTGAAAGAAAGAAGAAAGATATGGTAGTGGATAAGGGAGCAATGTGGCAGATGTTGCAAGTATATGGAATAGGTAGTAAGTTACTAAAAGCAGTAAAGAGTTTTTATGAGGATAGTGAGACTCAGGTTAGGGTGTGTAGAAGAGAGGGAGACTACTTCCCAGTAAAAGTAGGTCTTAGACAGGGATGTGTAATGTCACAATGGTTTAACCCTTAAATGGTCCAAACGTATATACAGTGGTGGTCCCTCGTTTTTCGTAATTAATCCGTTCCTGGAGGAGCTACTGTAAATGAAATTTACGATTTGCGAATCAATTTTCCCCATAAGAAATAATGTAAATACAATTAATCCGTTCCTGACACCCAGAAGTATTAAAACAAAAAAATTTTTTACATGAAATATACATATAGTACATAAACAATACAATGGGAAATGATGAATGAAACATTAACAGCATAACACTTACCTTTATTGGAGATTCTTCTTAGTGTATTGGAGACTGGAGGAGGAGAGAGATTGGATTGGTTACAGTTTGGAAGGGAAATCCCCTTCCAGCAACACCTCAGGTACCAATTGCTTCTCTTCTCTGTTTCTTAATGCCACTAGGACCACTTTGAGAGTCACTCTAGTCCTGTCTCGCAAAGTAACTGTGGAGAGAGCTCTGTTTCTGGCGTCTCTTTAACACTTCCCTAAAATGGCCCAAGACTTTGTCACTGTACATATTTCTCACCTTCTTTACCACAGGCTTGGCACTAGGAGCTTTCTTTGGAGCCATGGTAGCTTATTTAGTAATTGCAAGCACTAAAATGAGTGGAATATTATGAAATATTTCGTAGGAGCACTTGAGGGGACCTTCACTCACTGGTAAACAATGCCAGACTGGCTGGGTAGGGAGGCCGCCCCGGCTCACACCGTGCGTACGCGTCCCGGACGAACTACTATTCGCGAGTCAACCTCTGAAAAGCGAGTCCATGTTTATACGAAAATACCCCTATGATTGGCGAAATTTACGATTGCCGAGAACTACGAAAAGCGAGGGACCACTATATACGTTTTTTCAACATCTGAAAGTATGTAAAAAAATGTAGATCATCTTTTTTGTTTTACATTTGAAAACGTGTAAAAAAAATTTTTATATACTTTTTTTTTTTTTTGTTATATTTGAAAATATGTAAAAAAAAGTAGATCTACTTTTGTAGCACTACGAATTTGAACATCGATCTGTTTGGACCGTTTAAGGGTTAATATATTTATAGATGGGGCTGTAAAAGAAGTAAATGCTAGGTTGTTGGGGAGAGAGGTGGGAGTAAGTTATAGGGAATCAAATACAAAATGGGAGTTGACACAGTTACTCTTTGCTGATGATACTGTATTTATGGTAGGTTCTAAAGAAAAGTTGCAAAGGTTAGTGGATGAGTTTGGGAGGGTGTGTAAAGGTAGAAAGTTGACAGTGAACATAGATAAGAGCAAGGTGATGAAGGTATCAATATGATTTAGATAAAGAAAAACTGGATATCACATTGGAGAGAGGGAGTACGGAAGAAGTGAATGTTTTCAGATATTTGGGAGTTGACTTGTCAGCAGATGGGTTTATGAAGGATGAGGTTAACCATAGAATTGATGAAGGAAAAAAAACGAGTGGTGCGTTGAGGTATATGTGGAGGCAAAAAACGTTATCTATGGAGGCAAAGAAGGGAATGTATGAAAGTACAGTGGTACCAACACTCTTATATGGATCTGAAGATTGGGTTGTAAATGCTGCAGCGAGGAGGCGGTTGGAGGCAGTGGAGATGTCCTGTCTGAGGGCAGTGTGTGGTGTAAATATTATGCAGAGAATTCGGAGTGTGGAAATTAGGAGAAGGTGTGGAGTTAATAAAAGTATTAGTCAGTGGGCTGAAGAGGGTTTGTTGAGGTGGTTTGGTCATTTAGAGAGAATGGATCAAAGTAGAATGACATGGAGAGTGTATAAATAAATCTGTAGGGGAAGGAAGATGAGGTAGGGGTCGTCCTCAAAAAGGTTGGAGGGAAGGGGTAAAGGAGGTTTTGTGGGCGAGGGGCTTGGACTTCCAGCAAGTGTGCATGAGTGTGTTAGATAGGAGTGAATGGAGACAAATGGTTTCTGGGACCTGACGAGCTGTTGGAGTGTGAGCAGGGTAATATTTAGTGAAGGGATTCAGGGAAACCAGTTATTTTTATATAGCCAAACTTGAGTCCTGGAAATGGGAAGTACGATGCCTGCACTTTAAAGGACGTGTTTGGGATATTGGCAGTTTGGAGGGATATGTTATCTCTTTTTATATGCTTCTGAACTGTTGTATCTGGGTGCCTCTGCAAAGACAGTAATTACTGAGTGTGGTGAAAGTGTTGAATGATAATGAAAGTATTTTCTTTTTGGAGATTTTCTTTTGTTTTTGGGTCATCCTGCCTCGGTGGGAGACGGCCAACTTGTTGGGATTTTTTTTTTTTTTTCCTTCATCTTTTTCAAAATATAGTTCACACATCAAATTTTCTTTATCCTTTTTCCTCCATTTTTCATCATATTAATGAAAACTGTGCTCCTGGAAACTTTATAAATGTTATACATTTGTGTTATTTAGTTGTATATAAAATATGTCATCTTGCTAATGTTGATAAATATTGATCAAGCTCTCTCTAGTATTTTTTTAGAAATTCAGTAATTTAGCAAAATATTTTCCCCTCAGAATCAAACAGAAAAGATGACCCTCCAAAGTTGACATTGCGGCCTGATCTTGGGCCTCCAACTCCTAACCGCTCCCGTCAACCTAACCGCCCGCCAGGCATGCCCGAGCTCAAAAGAATAAAAAAAGAACACAAAGTTGTAGACACTGGCACAATGGAGCCTGGTGAGGTTCCCAGATCAAGATCTCAGAGTCCAGCAGCCAGCAGTCACAACAGTGATGATCCACCTATAAACCATACGGATAAGATAGAGGTTAGATTTATTTTGTCTTACATTTTTTTTTCTGTACAATAACTTGTAAAGAAAAGTGTTGCATTGAAGTTGAGAAGAAACATGTTTTTATCCTGAATGATTATTTTTGTATTAAGTGTAAGTGGATTTGCAGTAGTAAGTGGAAATTTGTTATCAGCCTCAGCATGTTTGTTTAGCTATAATATGATTGCTTCTTGTCTTCATGAAGAAAAAAAATGTTACCATACACAGAGTGACCCAAAGAAGGAAGCACATTCACCATTATTCATTCATTTGCTGTCTTACCAGAAATGTGCTAACATCACATGACTGCAACATCCTCTGCCCTTCTTAAGAGTGCAGATGCTTCCCATCCCACTCCAGTACTTGAGTCTGGCTAACTTGGTTTTCTCTGAATCCCTTCATAAATGTTACCTTGCTCACTCTCCAACAGCACTTCCATTAAAAACCACTTGTCTCCATTTATTCCTGTCTAACATACACAAGTCTACTGTATGCTCATGCCCTCAAAATTCAAAGGCTCCTTTCCTCCTCCCCCCTCCCCCCATTCCTAGTTGTTAGCCTCCTATCTCCCACCCCAGGTTTATACACCCTTTTTGTCATTAGTCTGTATCTCTTCCAAGCTCTCTTGATCCTCTTCTTGGCCCTTCTGCATTTCTGCTTGAAGATGGTCTTTCGTTTTCAATTTCTTTTCTTCATGCTTGGTACACGTCTTTCCTTTGCTTCCAGGCACTTGGCCCCTAAAGTCTTCTAAAAAAATCTTTGTTGCAAAACAATTTGGAAAATGTGAATAAAACACAAAAACAGTTGAATGACCTTCATTAGGGAACTTGAAAAAGACAAAATACGTGTATCAATATTTGACCTTATGCCTTTAATACTTTTTGAAGCTTTTCTGGCAAAGACTTGCCTAATTTTCGGAAATAAATTAGATCACTATAAATCTATAAATTTTGTAGAGCCTCTACCAACTTTGGATATTGGAAATTTGGTGCTCTTGCTACTTTGGATATCAAACTTGATTTGATTTGATTTGAGTGGATGGTTGGTCAATAAGGACTCGAGTGAAAATAAGTTACTTTGGCTTTTTTGGGTTATCCAAGGTAATCTACACTTATGCTGCTATGTATGATAGTTTATATAACTGTATTTATGTGTACTTGTACCTGAATAAACTTACTTAGTAGGACTTAAAACCTGTCAACTACTAGTGTCATGAAGAATTCATGTCACCTATCTACCACTAGTAAAGAATACCTTAATTCTTAAACTAGGGATTAAGGTAAACTCTTAGCACATATACACAGGGCTATTCACCTGTCTGTGTATGTATCCTTGTAAGCCTCATTCATAACTCAAGATACCATACATGGTTACCTCCACACGTACATAACACCTCTGTGGAAAATTTTGAATTTTCCTAAATTCAGCATGTGGCCATCGTACGCTCTAGCTATTGGTATAGTCTTAAGGTGTGTTACAAGTAAAAAGTTTGATCCAGTAATTAAATGGTAAGTGGCAATATGAATTTCTTTTCTAATAACACCATTGTATTATATGTATTGTACTAACAGCTACTCAAACCCATATTATTTGCAGATGACACTACATATGTCTTTTTCCACCCAAACAGTCATACTAGCAAACAGTCAATGCTGAATTGCAGAAAATATCTGCCTGGATGATGACTAATAAACTTACCCTGAATACTGATAAAACCTATTTCATTCAGATTGGAAACAAAGCTGCAAATGATCCAATTAACATAACGCTAAATGGATCATCAGTCACAAGACTCACAGAGGGAAAATTCCTCGGTATCCACCTTGACAGTAGCCTTAAGTTCCAGACACACATACAACAAATCACCAAGAAAATCTCCAAGACTGTAGGCATACTATCAAAGATAAGGTACTACGTTCCACAATCAACTCTCGTGGCACTGTACCATTCACTCATATATCCTTATCTTGCATATGGAATTTGTGCATGGGGATCAACAACATCCAGTCACCTAAAACCCCTAATAACCCAGCAAAAGGCAGCAGTAAGAATGATAACAAATTCCCACTCCCGCCAGCATACTCCACCAATTTTCAAAAGTCTGAATCTGCTCACCATTAAGAACATCCATACTTATTCATGTGCCTACTATATACACAGAACAATACACGCAAATATAAACCCTCCACTCAAACTTCTCCTCACCAACCTAAACACGACACATGACCACAACACAAGACACAGATCTCTTTTTGATATACCTCGTGTCCATATCACACTGTGTAAAAACTCTATGCACATAAAGGGCCCCAAAATATGGAATTCATTACCAGAAGATACTGAAGTAACCTGGTCTGAAAATCAATTTAAGACTCTTCTCAAAAGCCACTTAATCACCCTAGACTAATTGCTCAATACTCAGTACTCACATACTCAATACGTATTCCCATATCATAATTTCAACAATTACTTTTGAACCTTTTATCCATTGTCGACAGGAATATAATTGAATCATTGTTTCACAAAAAAAAACATTTTTGAATATGTGAATATTTCTTTAGTCTTATATAAATTAGATTCACTTATAATTAATAATCTGCTGTACAACCATGATATAATTAAATCTACTGTACAACTATGATATAATTCTTAGTGTTAAGTAGTCTGTAAGCCAATAATGTTAAGTTGGCCCATAATGCCTAGGCATAATAGTGGCTCTTTGCATTGCAACCCATTATTGTAAATATATAATCTCAATGTACTATTTGCAAAGACATCAATAAATAAATGAATGAATCAATAAATACATTCTCCCAAACTCGTCCACTAACCTTTGCAACTTTTCTTTAGAATCTCCCATAAGCACGGTATCATCAGCAAAAAGTAACTGTGTCAACTCCCATTTTGTACTTGCTTCCCCATAATATAATCCCACCCCTCTCCCCAACACCCTAGCATTTACTTCTTTTACAACCCCATCAATAAATATATTAAACATCTATGGTGACATTACACATCCCTGTCTAAGACCTGCATGTACCAAGTACATGTTTTTTTTTTTTTTTTTTTCAACAAGTCGGCCGTCTCCCACTGAGGCAGGGTGACCCAAAAAAGAAAGAAAATCCCCAAAAAGAAAATACTTTCATCATCATTCAACACTTTCACCACACTCACACATTATCACTGTTTTTGCAGAGGTGCTCAGAATACAACAGTTTAGAAGCATATACGTATAAAGATACACAACATATCCCTCCAAACTGCCAATATCCCAAACCCCTCCTTTAAAGTGCAGGCATTGTACTTCCCATTTCCAGGACTCAAGTCCGACTATATGAAAATAACCGGTTTCCCTGAATCCCTTCACTAAATATTACCCTGCTCACACTCAACAGATCTTAAGGTCCCAAGTACCATTCGTCTCCATTCACTCCTATCTAACATGCTCATGCACGCTTGCTGGAAGTCCAAGCCCCTTGCCCACAAAACTTCCTTTACCCCCTCTCTCCAACCTTTTCGAGGACGACCCCTACCCCGCCTTCCTTCCCCTATAAATTTATATGCTTTCCATGTCATTCTACTTTGATCCATTCTCTCTAAATGACCAAACCACCTCAACAACCCCTCTTCTGCCCTCTGACTAATACTTTTATTAACTCCACACCTTTTCCTAATTTCCACACACTGAATTTTCTGCATAATATTTACACTACACATTGCCCTTAAACAGGACATCTCCACTGCCTCCAACCGTCTCCTCGCTGCTGCATTTACCACCCAAGCTTCACACCCATATAAGAGTGTTGGTACTACTATACTTTCATACATTCCCTTCCTTGCCTCCATAGATAACGTTTTTTGACTCCACATATACCTCAATGCACCACTCGCCTTTTTTCTCTCATCAATTCTATGATTAACCTCATCCTTCATAAATCCATCCGCTGACACGTCAACTCCCAAGTATCTGAAAACATTCAATTCTTCCATACTCCTCCTCCCCAATTTGATATCCAATTTTTCTTTATCTAAATCATTTGATACCCTCATCACCTTACTCTTTTCTATGTTCACTTTCAACTTTCTACCTTTACACACATTCCCAAACTCATCCACTAACCTTTGCAATTTTTCTTTAGAATCTCCCATAAGCACAGTATCATCAGCAAAAAGTAACTGTGTCAATTCCCATTTTGAATTTGATTCCCAAAATTTAATCCCACCCCTCTCCCGAACACCCTAGCATTTACTTCCTTTACAACCCCATCTATAAATATATTAAACAACCATGGTGACATTACACATCCCTGTCTAAGACCTACTTTTACCGGGAAGTAATCTCCCTCTCTTCTACACACCCTAACCTGAGCCTCACTATCCTCATAAAAACTCTTTACAGCATTTAATAACTTACCACCTATTCCATATACTTGCAACATCTGCCACATTGCTCCTCTATCCACTCTATCATATGCCTTTTCTAAATCCATAAATGCAATAAAAACTTCCCTACCTTGATCTAAATACTGTTCACATATATGCTTCAATGTAAACACTTGATCTACACATCCCTTACCCACTCTGAAACCTTCTTGCTCATCTGCAATCCTACATTCTGTCTTACCTCTAATTCTTTCAATTATAACCCTACCGTACACTTTTCCTGGTATATTCAGTAAACTTATTCCTCTATAATTTTTACAGTCTCTTTTGTCCCCTTTCCCTTTATATAAAGGGACTATACATGCTCTCCTCCAATCCCTAGGTACCTTCCCCTCTTTCATACATTTATTAAACAAAAGTACCAACCACTCCAACACTATATCCCCCCCTGCTTTTAACATTTCTGTCATGATCCCATCAGTTCCAGCTGCTTTACCCCTTTCATTCTACGTAATGCCTCACGTACCTCCCCCACACTTACATTCTGCTCTTCTTCACTCCTAAAAGATGGTATACCTCCCTGACCAGTGCATGAAATTACTGCCTCTCTTCCTTAACATTTAAAAGTTCCTCAAAATATTCTCGCCATCTACCTAATACCTCCATCTCCCCATCTACTAACTCCCCTACTCTGTTTTTAACTGCCAAATCCATACTTTCTCTAGGCTTTCTTAACTTGTTTAACTCACTCCAAAATTTTTTCTTATTTTCATTAAAATTTCTTGACAGTGCCTCTCCCACTCTATCATCTGCTCTCCTTTTGCACTCTCTCACCCCACTCTTTACCTTTCTTTTACTCTCCATATACTCTGCTCTTCTTATAACACTTCTGCTTTGTAAAAACCTCTCATAAGCTACTTTTTTCTCTTTTATCACACCCTTTACTTCATCATTCCACCAATCACTCCTCTTTCCACCTGCCCCCACCCTCCTATAACCACAAACTTCTGCCCCACATTCTAATACTGCATTTTTAAAACTATTCTAACCCTCTTCAACCCCCCCCCCCCCCACAACCCATCTTTGCACTAGCCCACCTCTCTGCCAATAGTCGCTTATATCTCACCCGAACTTCCTCCTCCCTTAGTTTATTCACTTTCACCTCCCTCTTACTTGTTGTTTCCACCTTCCTCTTTTCCCATCTACCTCTTACTTTAACTATAGCTACAACTAAATAATGATCTGATATATCAGTTGCCCCTCTATAAACATGTACATCCTGGAGCCTACCCATCAACCTTTTATCCACCAATACATAATCTAATAAACTACTTTCATTACGTGCTACATCATACCTTGTATATTTATTTATCCTCTTTTTCATAAAATATGTATTAGTTATTACCAAATCTCTTTCTACACATAGCTCAATTAAAGGCTCCCCATTTACATTTACCCCTGGCACCCCAAATTTACCTACTACTCCCTCCATAACATTTTTACCCACTTTAGCATTGAAATCCCCAACCACCATTACTCTCACACTTGATTCAAAAGTCCCCACGCATTCACTCAACATTTCCCAAAATCTCTCTCTCTCCTCTACACTTCTCTCTTCTCCAGGTGCATACACGCTTATTATAACCCACTTTTCACAACCAATCTTTATTTTACTAAACATAACATATAAACATGATAAATACACCCTTCAGTAAAATAAATTAACAAATATGAGATGTTTTTCCAGTCTTGTTGGAAAGAATAATATTTTCTATAGTTCAACACCAAAGAAAATGTGTACACAGTATTACTGGGGGTGACTAGAAAATTATTCCTTTCGTATACCTTCACTCAGAGCGTCATTTCTTCTAAAAATGGTGTTACATGAGAATGGGAGTTTTGCTCTCTATTTATTCTACTGTACCAGCATGGAGACAACTTGTACACAGTGTAAAGTGTTTGTATTACGGTATAATACAAACGTGTATGAACCAAAACCAGATGCGTTTGCCTGTTTGTTTACATACTCCATGTCTGTCCTCTCTCATTTACTCATTCTCTCTCGTTATTCGTTTTATCTCATTTACTCACCTCTCGCCCTACATTAAGACTACAAATATTTTAAGGTAAGTAATGAGTGTACTATGTGTGTATTTACCTTTTTATTATTTTTTTTTAATGCCTAGTTCTATTGCTAACTTAATATATGTTAGTGTAAACTAGTTATCTAGCATTTATATGCATTTATAAATGGTAAAAAAGGGCATTCCACTTTAATGCAGTAGCCTGGAACCTAACCTGCTGTATAAGTGGGGCCCTACTGTATGTGTGCATACCTATGTATGTACTGTACGCTGTTGCAAGAAATGTTAAAGCCAGTACTTTCATATCTGTTTTACCATATTGTTTTAGAATGAACGTCCAGAATACGTGAAAGTTAAAGATGTAGACCCAGAAGAGGATGAAGGGGTTGCTGGAGAAGGAATATCAGGAGATGAAGAGCAAGATGATGAGGATGAGGAAGATGAGGAGGAAGAAGAAGATGAAGATGTGGGTTTAGGCGAGGGAGAGGCTATGTCCCATGGTGTACTCTCTGATGTTGATGCCTTTGAACAATCTAACTCTTCATTGCCAAACTCTGATATATCAACGGTAGGCCATAAAAAAAAAAAACATTTTTTCTGTTTTTCTTTCTCTTATTCAAAGTACTCTCTGAGTGATTGCCAGATAGTTAAATAAATATTTTCTTAAATAAATATTTTCTTGAGACTTAAAATTTAAGTGGATTAATGAGGGGAGGAGAAAATAGGATTTCTTAAATTGCCAAATTTACATAGTTAAAACTGTGCTGCCAATAAATATAATTTACATAGTCATGACTGCAGCTAATACATGTAATTTCTTTATTCTAGACTGAACTATTACAAGTTGATTTAAGTGAGGATGGAACGCAGTTTATTATTGGTCCTGGTGGCTATGGTGAAGTAATGTCAAGAACTTCCTCATTGGCTGGGGATGAAGAGAGAAATGGTGATAGAGAACAAAAAAAGCCCTTTGTGTGCCCTTTGTGTGGCCAGTCCTTTACAAGACGTGATAATCTTGCCAATCATATCAAGGTAAAATCACCCTTCATGACCCATATTAAGTTGCCTATGTTGATGTCTTTGGGCCATCTGTTAAGTTCTTTCTTCTTTCTTTCAACACACCAGCCGTATCCCACTGAGGTGGGGTGGCCCAAAAGAAAAAACCAAAGTTTCTCCTTTCAAATTTAGTAATATATACAGGAGAAGGGGTTACTAGCCCCTTGCTCCCGGCATTTTAGTCGCCTCTTACAACACGCATGGCCTAAGGAGGAAGAATTCTGTTCCACTTCCCCATGGAGATAAGAGTAAATAAACAAGAACAAGAACTAGAAAGAAAATAGAAGAAAACCCAGAGGGGTATGTATATATACGCTTGTACATGTATGTGTAGTGTGACCTGAGTGTAAGTAGGAGTAGCAAGACGTACCTGAAATTTTGCATGTTCATGAGACAGAAAAAAGGACACCAGCAATCCTACCATCATGTAAAACAATTACAGGCTTTCGTTTTACACTCACTTGGCAGGACGGTAGTACCTCCCTGGGTGGTTGCTGTCTACCAACCTACTACCCAGGATCTGTTAAGTTGTCTTTGTAATATTTATACTTTGGGTCCCATTAAAGGTTTTGTCTTTGTAGAATTTATATTTTGGGTCCCATTAAGGGTTTTGTTTTTTAGTGTTTATATTATGGGTCCCATACAGGGCTTTGTATTTGTAGTATTTATACTTTGGACCTCATTAGGGGTTTTAGGACTTACTTTTTTCTTGATATGACCTTATCACTACTTAGTAGAATTTCATACCTGTGAAATGTTTTTACTTTATTTAGGGTTTTAGCTATTTCTGTAACATATTTTGCTATTTCTGTGACATTTTCTCATGGGCTAATGCAAGTATGAGTAGTGGGGGGGGGGGTTAAAGAGGGATGGGATAGCTTTAAAAATGCAGTATTAGAATGTGGACAGAAGTTTGTGGCTATTGGAGGGTGGGTGCAAAAGGAGAGAGGAGTGATTAGTGGAATGATGAGGTAAAGGGTCCGATAAAAAGAAAAAGGTAGTTTATGAGAGATTTTTACAAAGCAGAAGTGATATAAGAAGAGCAGAGTACATGGAGAGTAAAAGAAAGGTTATGAGAGTACAAATGATAGAGTGGCACTATCAAGAAATTTTGCTGAGAACAAGAAAAAAAATTTGGAGTGAGATAAACAGGTTAAGAAAGCCTAGGGATCAAATGGATTTGTCAGTTAAAAAACAGAGTAGGGAAGTTAGTAGATGGGGAGCTGGAGGTATTTGGTAGATGACAGGAATATTTTGAGGAACCTTTAAATGTCAGTGAAGACAGGGAGGCAATAATTTCATGCACTGGACATGGAGGCATAACATCATTTAGGATGTGAGTGTGAGGGAGGTGCATGAGGCATTACATAGAATGAAAGGGGATAAAGCAGCTGGAACTGATGGGATCATGACAGAAATGTTAAAAGCAAGAGGGGATATAGTGCTGGAGTGGTTGGTATTTTTGTTTAATAAATGTATGAAAGAAGGGACGGTACCAAAGGATTGGCAGAGAGCATGTGTAGTTCTTTTATATGAAGGGAAAGGGGACAAAAGAGATTGTAAAAATTATAGGGGAATAAGTTTACTGAGTTTACCAGGTAAAGTGTATGGTAGGGCTATTATTGAAAAAATTCGAGGTAAGACAGAGCAGGATTGCAGATGAGCAAGGAGACTTTAGAATGGGTTTGGGATGTGTAGATCAAGAGTTTACTTTGAAGCATATATGTGAATAGTGTTTAGATAAAGGTAGAGAAGTTTTCATTGCATTTATGGGTATATAAAAGGCATATGATAGTGGATAGGGGAGCAGTGTGGCAGATGTTGCGAGTGTATGAAATAGGTAGTAAGTTGCTAAATGCTGTAAAGAGTGTGTATGAGGATAGTGAGGCTCAGGTTAGGGTGCATAGGAGAGAGGGGGATTACTTCCCAGTAAAAGTAGGTCTTAGACAGGGATGTGTAAAGTCACCATGGTTGTTTAACATTAAGTGTATAGTTAGACCTTCCCTGTAAAAACAAGAGCCTGTCTAATAGGCTGGTTGTGAGTCAGAGGAAAAAGCTCCCATGGCATTCCATATCTGCTGTAAATTTGAGCATCATAAATGAATACAGCGGACCCTCAGTTAACGATATTAATCCGTTCCAGAGAGCTTGTCCTTAACCGATTTTATCGTTATCCAAATTAATTTTCCCCATAAGAAATAATGGATATCCAATTAGTCTGTTCCAGACACCCAAAAGTATTAAAAATAATAATTTTTTACATGAAATATACATTTCCCTACCAGAAAACAATGAGACATGCAGAATAAATACATAAATAAATGTTAAAATGACACTTTCCTTTATTGAAGAGTATTGATAAGTAATGAGACACTGTTTTCTTGAACACTCTGGGATTTTCAGAGTGATACGTAAGTAAAGGCTTCACTTTGCAATCCTCACTAGCATTACAACAAAACATGAGAGTTAGCCTGTCTTTCATAGGCTTGTGTCCTGGGAGTGCCTTTTCCTCCTGAGTAATGTAGGTCCTGTTTGGCATTTTCTTCCAGAACAGGCCTGTTTCATCACAATTGAACACTTGTTGGGGTTGGAATTTTTCAGCTTCGCCATGCCTTATCACACTGTGTATGCCACTACGATTCTTAAATCTCCCAAACCAACCTTTGCTTGCCTTAAATTCACCAATATGAGCACTAGTTCCAGGCATTGTTTCCTGTTCACCTGGATGTTAGTCGACTGGTGTGGGTCGCATCCTGGGGGACAAGATTAAGGACCCCAATGGAAATAAGTTAGACAGTCTTCGATGATGCACTGACTTCCTTGGGTTATCCTGGGTGGCTAACCCTCTGGGGTTAATTGTTTCTCAGATAATTGTTTCTCATTAAGCCACACCAATAACAGTTTCTCCACATCTTCGAGTAGTATTTGCGATCTCTGTTTTGTAAGCATATTTGCACCATTCGCAACAACAGCTTCCTTGATTGCCTTTTCCTTGGCCAAGATAGCAGCAATGGTTAGACGAAGAATGAGGGGAGACCTGATCTAAGTGTATAAGTGGAAGATAGGTATTAATAAAGGGGATATAAATAAGGTCTTGAGGATATATCTCCAAGAGAGAACCCGCAGTAATGGATTTAAATTAGACAGGTTTAGATTTAGAAAGGACATAGGAAAGTATTGGTTTGGAAATAGGGTAGCTGATGAGTGGAACAGTCTACCTAGTTGGGTTACTGAGGCTAGGACTTTGGGTAGTCTCAAATTTAGGTTGGATAAATATATGAGTGAGAGGGGTTGGATTTGATTGGGACTTGCAAATGAGTGGATTGAGTTATCAGAGATTATTTCTTGGGTAGCATTGAAAATTGGGTTGGGAAAATATTTTGTTAGTGGGATGGATTGTAAAGGACCTGCCTAGTATGGGCCAACAGGCCTGCTGCAGTGATCCTCTTTTCTTATGTTATGTTCTTATGGTTGAATGGGGTTTGTTATATACACCTACCATCCGACTTACGACCTGCTCGACATACGACCACTCGACTTACGACCATGTTTTTTATGCCAAATTTCTGGGATATAAACAATTGTTTTTGTTGTACACAGTATTTATCCTAAATCTTACTTTATAAAATACAGTACTAACAGCATAAAAAGTAAAGTAAAAACTGAAATACAAAAATAAAATCATTACAAAAGCGTGATGTTGATATTCACTAGTAAGGTTCGACTTGCGTCCATTTTGACTTACGACCGGTTGGTCAGAACCAAGCTTGGTCATAAGTTGGATGGTACCTGTAATCTGGCCAACTTGGAGACACACAGTCCACTTTCGTATTTTGTGATGATCTCTTTCTTGAATTCAATAGTATTTCTTACCCTCTTTACCACAGGGCTGGCACTAGAAGTTTTCTTTGGACCCATGGTGGCTTATTTAGCAGTTACAAGCACTAAAAAACAATGGAATAATACAAAATGTATCGCATATACTTGTGGAATTGTCCACACTGGCTTTGCAAACAATGGCACACTGGAGTGGCTGGGCCGCGTGGACACGTTCTGGACGAATGTCCTTAACCGAGTTTTTTATCGTTAACTGAGCCAATATTTTGACGCAAAAATGTATCGGTATCCGATTTTATCGCTATCTGATGGAATTGTTAACTGAGGGGCCACTGTATCACAATATCGTGAGCATAAAAATGCCACAATTTTTCAACCATCTTATAGCGAAAATGCTCTAACACATGCATCTTTATTGATGTTCCTCTGTATTCAGAAAAAAGGTACTGGATGTAAGACAGAGGACCATCTCATGGAATGAATGGAACATGTAAAAAACCTAGGTATAATAATGTCAGATGACCTAGCATTTAGAGAACACATTAAGACAATCTGTATCTGTGGAGACAAGAAACATTATTAATGGAGGCAAAGAAGGGAATGTACAAAAGTATAGTGGTACCAACACTCCTCTATGAGTGTGAAGCTTGGGTTGTAAATGCTGTAGCAAGGAGGCGGCTGGAGGCAGTGGATGTCCTGTCTAAGGGCAATGTGTGATGTAAATATTATGCAGAGAATTTGTAGTGTGGAAATTAGGAGGAGGTGTGGAGTTACTAAAAGTATTAGTCAGAGGGCTGAACAGGGGTTGTTGAGGTGGTTTGGTCACTTAGAATGGAACAAAGTAGAATGACTTGGAGAACGTATAAATCTGTAATGGAAGGAAGGTGGGGTAGGGGTCGTTCTCGAAATGGGTGAAGAGAGGTAGTAAAGGAGGTTTTGTGGGCGAGGGGATTGGATTTCCAGCAAGTGTGTGTGTGTGTGTGTGTGTGTGTTAGATAGGAGTGAATGGAGATGAATGGTTTTCAGGACCTGCCAAGCTGTTGGAGTGTGAGCAGGGTAATATTTTGTGAAGGATTCAGGGAAACTGCTTAGCCAGACTTGAGTCCTGGAAATGGGAAGTACAATGCCTGCACTTTAAAGGAGGGGTTTAGGATATTGGGAGTTTGGAGTGACTAAACTGTCTTATCTGGGCACCTCTGCAAAGACAGTGATTATGTATGAGTGATGGTGAAAGTGTTGAATGATAATGAAAGTTTTTCTTTTTTTCCTTCTTCTTCTTTCTTTCTTTTTGGGTTTTTCTTTCTTTTGGGTCACCCTGCCTTGGTGGGAAATGGCCAGTGTGTTAATAAAAAAAAAATTAAGGCAAATGCCATGAAGGCCAAAAAATATGACAGGGCAGATACAGGCCCGCCATCACAAATCTGGCAATCAGACATCCGGTTCCATCAGTTATTCAGTACTAATTTTGGCTAGCATAATTTAAAATTTCCAGGATCGCCACACCAATATCCTAGTACTGTTTGGTGATGCTACTTGCTGCATAAGTCATTCCAATTTCTTTTTCTCCATTTATTGTTATAACCTGCTTACTTTTAGCTCTAGCCATGGTTCCAACGAATAAAAGAAATGCATCTCGTTGTGTACAGCACCTACATAGTACAGTGTCCATTAAAGATAAGGTGGCTTTGGAGCCACTGTCAGTTGACCATGAGCTGTCTCGTGATGCAGTGGAATATGCTACGGCTTATTTGCTTATCACAGTTGATCTAATATGACATAATAACCAATATAAATAACATAAAAATATGTTAAATACTCCAGAATGAATAATATTTGGCATAATACCGAGCAGTTCGACGGAGATATGAAGAGGACATGGGATACAAGTACCCATTCTCCTGGTTGGTATTATTGTTTAATAAATGTATGAAAGTGGGGAAGGTACCTAGAGATTGGCAGAGAGCATGTATATTCCCTTTATGTAAAGGGAAGGGGGACAAAAGAGATTGTAAAAATTATAGAGGAATAAATTTACTGAGTATACCAGGAAAAGTCCTAGTTAGTACGTTGGTAGATAGCAACCGCCCAGGGAGGTACTACCGTCCTGCCAAGTGAGTGTGAAACGAAAGCCTGTAATTGTTTTACATGATGGTAGGATTTCTGGTGTCCTTTTTTCTGTCTCATGAACATGCAAGATTTCAGGTACGTCTTGCTAATTCTGCTTACACTTAGGTCACACTACACATGCATATACAAGCACATATATACACACCCCTCTGGGTTTTCTATTTTCTTTCTAGTTCTTATTCTTGTTTATTTCCTCTTATCTCCATGGGGAAGTGGAACAGAATTCTTCCTCCATAAGCCATGCGCTTTGTAAGAGGCGACTAAAATGGCGGGAGAAAGGGGCTGGTAACCTCTTCTGCTGTATATATTACTAAATGTAAAAGGAGAAACTTTTGTTTTTCCTTTTGGGCCACCCCACCTCAGTGGGATACGGCCAGTGTGTTGAAAGAAAGAAAGACCAGGAAAAGTGTACTGTAGGGTTATAATTGAAAGAATTAGAGGTAAGACAGAATGTAGATTGCGGATGAGCAAGGAGGTTTTAGAGTGGGTAGGGGATGTGTAGATCAAGTGTGTACATTGAAGCATATATGTGAACAGTATTTAGATAAAGGTAGGGAATTTTTTATTGCATTTATGGATTTAGAAAAGGCATATGATAGAGTGGATAGGGGAGCAATGTGGCAGATGTTGCAAGTATATGGAATAGGTGGTAAGTTACTAAATGCTGTAGAGTCTTTTATGAGGATAGTGAGGCTCAGGTTAGGGTGTGTAGAAGAGACTACTTCCCGGTAAAAGTAGGTCTTAGACAGGGATGTGCAATGTCACCATGGTTGTTTAATATATTTATAGACAGGGTTGTAAAAGAAGTAGATGCTAGGGTGTTCGGGAGAGAGGTGGGATTAAATTATGGGGAATCACATACAAAATGGGAATCGACACAGTTGCTTTTTGAGGATGATACTGTGCTTATGGGAGATTCTAAAGAAAAGTTGGAAAGGTTAGTGGACGAGTTTGGGAGTGTGTGTAAAGGTAGAAAGTTGAAAGTGAACGTAGAAAAGAGTAAGGTGATGAAGGTATCGAATGATTTAGATAAAGAAAAATTGGATATCAAATTGGGGAGGAGTAGTATGGAAGAAGTGAATGTTTTCAGATACTTGGGAGTTGACGTGTCGGCGGATGGATTTATGAAGGATGAGGTTAATCATAGAGTTGATGAGGAAAGAAAGGTGAGTGGTGCGTTGAGGTATATGTGGAGACAAAAAAACGTTATCTATGGAGGCAAAGAAGGAAATGTATGAAAGTATAAAAGTTTTTTTTTTTTTTTTTTTTTTGATCCTCTGACAAGTCGGGCCGTCTCCACGAGGCAATGGTGTGACCCAAAAAAGAAGAAAATCCCAAAGAGGAAATATTCATCATAATCAACACTTTCATCACACTCGACATTACATGTTTTGCAGAGGTGCTTGGATACACAGTTTAGAAGCATACACATATAAAGATACCACATATCCCTCCAAACTGCCAATATATGGACCAGAACTTATGGGGTGCAGCTTGGGTTGTGAATGCAGCAGTGAGGAGGCGTTGGGGCAGTGGAGATGTCCTTCTAAGGGCAAGTGTTGTGGTTGGGAAATGATTTGCAGAAAATTCAGAGTGTGGGAAATTTAGGAGGTGTGGAGTTAATAAAAGTATTAGTCAGAGGGCTGAATTGGGGTTGTTGAGGTGGTTTGGTCATTTAGAGAGAATGGATCAAAGTAGAATGACATGGACAGCATTTAAGTCCGTAGGGGAAGGAAGGAGGGGTAGGGGTCATCCTCGAAAAGGTTGGAAGGAAGGGGTAAGGGAGGTTTTGTGGGCGAGGTGCTTGGACTTCCAGCAGGTGTGCATGAGCGTGTTTGATAGGAGTGAATGGAGACGAATGGTATTTGGGACCTGACGATCTGTTGGAGTGTGAGCAGGGTAATATTTAGTGAAGGGATTTAGGGAAACTGGTTATTTTTATATAGCCAGACTTGAGTCCTGGAAATGGGAAGTACAGTGCCTGCACTCTAAAGGAGGGGTTCAGGATATTTGCAGTTTGGAGGGATATGTTGTGTATCTTTATACATATATGCTTCTAAACTGTTGTATTCTGAGCACCTCTGCAAAAACAGTGATTATGTGTGAGCGAGCTGAAAGTGTTGAATGATGATGAAAGTATTTTCTTTTTGGGGATTTTTTTCTTTTTGGGTCACCCTTCCTCGGTGGGAGATGGCCGACTTGTTAAAAAAAAAAAAAAAGAAATAGCCTAAAAGAAAAAAAAAAGGAAAAGAAAAATCCTGGTTGTATTCTTGGCCGTGAAGGTAGAAAATTTTGAAATTTGTAAGATGTGTATCAACAGGTGCCAATAAACCATTGGTGAAGTTGAAGAGGAGGTGGTTAGGTTAGGTAAGGTTTATCAGGAAACAGGACAAGTGTTTCCTGACACAGGTCTTAGTCAGATGATGACCTGCCATTGGAGCTTTTGGTCATCTGACCAAGGCTTTCTGCTGGCTTACCAGTCTACCCCTGTAAAAATTATGGTCATAATTATAACCGTTTTAGATGTGGTGGTGTTATGTCTTCATTTGGTTGGTTTAACAAAGAAGCTGAATTGTCATCACAACTTGCCAGGTCCTAATGCTTATTCTTAGTGAGCAATTAATCTTCTTAAGATTAATTACTCAAAAAATTAGTCATTACTTCATTTCAAAGACCAAAACTTGCAGTGTAATTTTATGTGATCTATTGTACCTTCTCTTAAAATTATGTATGGAGCCTTCCTCCACGAGTTCTTCACCAAGATCATTCCACTTTCCAACCACTCTGAGACTAAAGAAATACTTCATAACTTCCCTGTGGTTTATTTGGGCCTTGAACTTCCAGCAGTGTCCCCAAGATCCTGTTTCTCACCTTAAGACAACTTAGCCTTGTCGTCTTCATCTATTCCCATGAGTATTTTGTATGTTATTTTCATGTTACCCTTGGTTCTTGTGTCCTCCAGTGTGTGGAGGTGGGTGTCTGTATATATCTCTGTATGTTTCTCATTTGCTTGATCTTACTCTCACTTAATTAATTATTGTTATTTTTTCATTCTTATTTTTGTGGCAGACTCACACCGGTGACCGTCCTTTCATGTGCCAGTATTGCCATAAGTGCTTCTCAAGGAAAGACTACCTGAAGCAGCACGAACGTATTCACACAGGAGAGAAGCCCTATGCATGTGACATCTGTAGTCGCGCGTTTACTCGTAAGGAGGGTCTTACCGATCACATGCGGTGTCATTCAGACTTCAAAGCCTTTTCTTGTGAAACCTGTGGTAAGAGCTTCAAGCAAAAATGTGGTCTGCGTTTCCATAAAAGAAACTATAAACATTAGCTATCCTAATGATCTGCAAGACTGAAGACACTTTTTACAGGTTTTTAACAAACAAGTGTTTATGAGAGACATTTTACTTATTACTACAAGTCATTCAGTTGCTTGCTGGGCAGTTTTTGTATGAAGGTCAATGAGTTTTAATACTTTTAATGATTGGTCAAATTATTTGGGTAAGTGTATGAGGAATGATTAAATTTCATGCATTTGCTTTATACTGTAATATTGTTTGATATACTATGCTTATTGGCTTACACCATATGTTCACTTCAACATTATGCATTCTGTTCATTTTATAATTAACTGTGACATTTATAATTAATAATAAGATAGTAAAGTATCACAAATAACATACACTGAACAGTGAAATTACTTGATGTTGAGTGATGGAGGTATTCTGGCATATTTGCAAGATCAACTTTGTATTGTTTATTTTGTTATGTGGTGCTAACATAATTTTGTTTGGCTTTTTTGACCTCTTCACCTCTAACTGTAGATTGTTCACCACAGATTTCCATAATTGTCTTCATAAATCAGAAAGTATTATGTTTTTATTTTGTAAATAGTGTATTGAAAAGTATTTATAATTGCTAAGTTATTTTTTTAATATCTCAAGACCACTTTGTTTAGTGATGAAGTAATTGTGTGTGCTTTATTCCAAAACTTATTTTATAATCAAAACTTTTAGTCTATATGTGTACCTTAAGTAATTATATGTGTGAAATTTAATTATTCATAACATATCACATTGATATATTTGTATTTGTTGAATTCAGTTTGGATGCCAGTAGGCTCATATCTCCACAAGCAGAATCTGAAGAGGGTCTTACTTTTAAGAATAATTTATACACTTCATCTGATCTCAAATGCATGCAGCCAGTGTGAACTTACAAGAGCTGTTTTGAATTGTGAAAGTATGAGTCAGTAACGTAAGGCAGCACTGTAAGGTATGCATTGTTTAGTATGTCAAGATTACAGTCTCACAGTACTTTTTAGTCGCAATTTTGAACTGTGTGTAGAATATTATTTTGTATAAGCATTCTTCCATTATTTTATACTTTTCATGCAACACTCTTGAATACAAAGCAGCCATGGGGGAGTTGAATGATAGCTCTAGGTCTTTCATGTTGCAATCAACACATCATCAGGACCCTGTAGTGTTGTAGAAAAAATAGGAATTACCAGCAAATATATTAAGAAAGTGTATCTGCTCGACACACTTCCTCTGAACGTATTTTCTTGGAATTCCAACATTTTTCTGCAACATTATAAGTTGATGAGGTGTTGATTGCAACATGAAAGGCCTAAAGCTATCATTCAACTCTCCCCATGGTTTTTTTGCATTTTGTATCGCTTGCTCGCGATCATTGCATATCTCTTGAATATATTTTAAGTAACATAGAAGTAGCTTCCATAAATATGTATGTGCACCAGTACTAAATCAAAGACAAGTGAAGAAAGCTTTTATTCAAAGTAATGTAGATAAATAGAGCAAGGGGCGAGTAACCCCTTCTGTATAAATTACTAAATTTAAAAAGAGAAACCTACGTTTTTCTTTTTGGACTACCCTGCCTTGGTGGGATACGGCCGGTTTGTTGAAAGAAGATATAGATAAATGGTTCAGAGAACCACACAAGTTGATCAGTTAGACACATGTGCAAAGACAGCACATGTGTGTGATTCACCAAGTTACATTCAATGGCTGTGGCTGAGCCAGCATTATTTTGAATGATAAATTAGACACATGTGCAGCACTTGGGTATATTCATTGTGAAAGCATTTCACCACACAGTGGCTTCATCAGTTCAATACAAAGAAGAATAGTGAAGATCAGAAGGAGTTTGAAGTAATCAGTCCCTCAGCCTGGAGGGCTGAGGATAATGTTAAGCTCAGTCATAGCCATATTGAGTAACTTGATGAACTACACACGTGCTCCCTTTGTTACTTACCTTTGATCTTATGAACTTGATAAAATTTTCACTGATCCAAACATTTTAATAAAAGCTTTATTTCTACATGTCTTAGATATAGTGTGTGTCAGCTTACTGCCTCTTTCACACTTACATCACCACTATATGAGTAATTATTGATTTGAAATTACCATTATATTGAAAGAGTTTTCCAGCCCTTTCTGTTTTGAAAATTGGTCATTTATTAGGAATGACTGCCAATGTTTATAATAGCTGCCAGCCCAAGAAATATGTGAACATTTATCATTACACAGTAGGTAAATACTACAGTGTAATACATGTACTTAAAACATATAACATTGACTTAATATTGCCCAAAAAAGATGCAAATTATGACTTTCTAGAAAAATGTGTTGAGCATTGTATTGATAGTCAATGGAGCCTGGCAAGTGGCAATGTGCATTTGTATAATCTTGTATATGGGAAATCTTAGTTTGAAATGAAAACATTCCATTTACATTCATGTATACATACATATGCATAAACATACATACATACATATGCACATACATGTATTTAAAAAAATTAACACTGGCCATCTCCCACTTAGGTAGGGTGACCTGAAAAAGAAGAAACATTTTCTGTTATTCCTTCTATCACTGTCTTGCCAAAGGTGTGCAGTACTATAGTTCAAATATCCCTCCAAACTGCAAATATCCCCACCTGTCCTTTAGAGTGCAGGCACTGTACTTTCCACCTCCAGGACTCAAGTCTGGCTAACTGGTTTCCTGAATTTTTTTTTTTTTTTTTTCAACAAGTCGGCCGTCTCCCACCGAATATCTTTACCAAATGTTACCTTGCTCACATTCCAACAGCTTATGAAGACCCTAAAACCATTTGCCTCCACTTGCTCCTATTTATCACATACAAATTACTAAAATACTTTCCAAATATTGATCAGAATGTGTGAAGCTATGTGGAGCAGTGGCAGGTGGGTCACCTGTTGTCTCCAGTTTCAACTCTCCATTGGCCTTAAACTACAAAGAAAACAATCTAACTTAATATACACTTATTTTCTTCATAAAAAAAAATTGCTGAACCTTGGCCTGACCAAAGGCCAGAGTTCTGAAATCCTGATGATAAAGAAGAATACTTGCCATTTACAAAAAAAAACATTTGGCATTATTCATGGAGTGTGCTTGGGTGGCAATCACCCAAGCACAGTACAAGGAATCTCCCTCCACAACATAAAGGTTACTAAACTTTGGGGAGGTGGGTGATGACACAGGTCACAATAATGCTTTTTCATGTTAGTAAGGGACTTTTGATTCAAGGAATGGGACATTTCCTTCTTAACCTGGATCTAACTCATTTGCATTCATTCCTTAGGCACTGTATGACCCTTTTAATGTAAGACAGTAATAATTCATTCTACTGCACATTGATTTGTGCCACACCTTGTCACAAAGGTCCCTGCATCACCTTTAGTACATAGGTCCCTACATTGCTTTTAGTACATAGGGCCTTACATCACCTTTAGTACATAGGTCCCTGCATCACCTTTAGTACATAGGTCCTTGCATCACCTTTAGTACAAAGGTCCCTGCATCACCTTTAGTACAAAGGTCCCTGCATCACCTTTAGTATAAAGGTCCCTGCATCACCTTTAGTACAAAGGTCCCTGCATCACCATTGGTACATAGGTCCCTGTGTCACCTTTAGTACATAGATCCCTGCATCATCATTATTACATAGGTCCCATCTAGTCATGGGGTCCTCCATGGCATCCTCCTCCCACCACCATCACTAAAAGTGTACAGTGCCGGAGAAAGCTCGAAGGTCAGATATATTTAATATTGTAGCATGTTTGAAATAGTGTTATTTCCAGTAAAGTGTAATAGTAAATGCCCTGTATTTTCCCATGCAGTATTAAGTGAAACATGACAAGCAGTATGACACTGTGGCTCCACCTCCCGCCCACCCCTTATACATATTGTTTTTTCTCTTACAGCTTGAGAGAAAACAGCACAGTTTGTTTGTAGTTTATACTTGAAGTGCAGGTATTTAATTTAGCTCAAATATTATTTCAGGCAAAATACAATGCCACAACACCCATAACACTACAATAAGAACACAAGACACTGTGTTGATCTTGAGGCAGGATGGCAGCTAGTTAATGGCACTGAGCTATAAATTGGGCAGACCTTTATTTAACTACGTACGTTTCTAAAATCCATGTAATTTTTGCTCAGAAAATTTGTTTCATTAAACGTAGGTAAATTGCAAAGAGTGAGACCATTTATACGTACACTTTTTTCCCCCCTAGTTACTATTAGCCATGTGGTGAATAACTTTTGCTGAGAACATAAATGGTTGTGCTGTAGAAGTTGTAATTGTTTCATAACTAAATATACAAGGGTAATGAAGGAAGAAAAAATTCAAATACAAATATAATTTATATGCAGGGCTAAGTAATAGCACTCCATAAAGTAGGAAATTTCCAGCACAATCACTCGGTAATTACTTGATCAATTTTCTTATCAAATCCACGTGTCTTTCTGGCATTATCATAAAATTCCACACTAGACATGCTTTCTTTCAAGATTTGCTTATTTCTCTCACTAACAAA